GTTCCCTGGTGTATCGCCTTTAAGGTCCACTTAGCCTCTTCCACCCCGAGGCATTTTAAGTAGGCGCCGGAGAATGATCTTTTGAAGAGCTGACCGTCTACCATAGAATACCGGGCAGCCTTTCGTTTGAGTGCCTTCCGCTCCACCGGATTTTGCGGAGTGACGTTGTGCTCCAGGTACTGGATTATGGGGGTTCGCCAGTCCGCGACCTCATCGATGTCCATGACTTCTTCTGTGGATTCACTTTCTTTGGTGACGGTGACTTGCCGGTCGCCTTCGAAGTCCATGGCGGTTGCGAGCTTGGAAAGCGCGTCCGCGTGTTGGTTGTCCTCTCTTCGGACATGCTCCAGCTTCCACGAACTCAGCTGAGACAGAGCATCTCTCACTTTGGTGGCTAATGCCGCCAGCGTCTCATCCTTAACCTCGAACGCTTCCAGGACCTGTTTGACGACCAGGAGGGAGTCGGAGAATATTTGCACGTCGGTGGCACCTAGGGTGGACAATATCCGAAGCCCATTGATCAGTGCCTCGTACTCAGCGACATTGTTGGTCTTGATTTCTTTGAATCTCAGCGAGATTTCATGCACCACTCCTTCGGGGGATTCGATGACGATCCCTGCCCCTGAAGCGGTCTTTCCGGCGGCGCCGTCTATGAACAGACGCCATATGTGATTGCGTTCCTCGGAAGGAGCGGCTTCGAGGGAAAAACCTTCGGCGATGAAGTCGGCAAGGACTTGCCCCTTAACGGCGGGCCTGGGTGCATATTCGATGTCGTATTCGCTCAGCTCGATTGCCCACTTAGTCAACCGACCTGAGGCGTCCATACCTCTCATGATGCTTTTGAGCGGGAGGTGAGATAGCACCGTGATCGGATGCTCTTGGAAATATGGTCGCAACTTTCTCGCCGCAGAGGCGACCGCGAGGACAGCCTTTTCGACGGGCAAGTACCTCGTTTCGGCGGGAAGAAGCGCCTTGCTAACGTAGTAGACAGGTTGGTCGGAGCCGTCTTGCGCTCTTCTCACTAGGACAGAACTTACGGCTTGCTCGGAGACCGCCAGGTAAAGGTAGAGTCGCTCTCCACCGATGGGGGCGCTCAAGACGGGCGGTCGACTGAGCTGGTCTGTCAACAACTGAAAGGCCTTGTTGCACTCGGCACCCCATTGGAGCCTTGATGCCGACTTCTTTAGCATTTGGAAGAATGGAGAGCATTTGTCGGCAGACCGCGGGATGAATCTTCCGAGTGCGGCCATCTTCCCATTGAAAGCTTGGATCTCCTTGATGGTCTTTGGCGGCTTCAGGCCGCGTATGGCCTCGATTTGTTTCGGGTTGGCTTCTATCCCTCGTTTTGTGATCATGAACCCTAAGAACTTTCCCGCTTCAGCGCCGAAGACGCATTTGAGCGGGTTGAGCCTTAAGTTCTTTCTCCTCAATGTTTCGAAGGTTTCCCTTAGGTCGGTCAGGTGATCCGCCGCCCTCTTACTTTTGACTAGCACGTCATCGACGTAGGCTTCCACGTTACGCCCCATTTGCTCCTTAAAGACCGCATCCACCATCCGCTGATAGGTCGCCCCCGCGTTCTTCAGTCCGAAGGGCATTACTACGTAGCAGAAGTTGCCCATGGGAGTCATGAAAGCGGTGAGCTCTTGATCCTCGTCTGCCATTCTTATCTGGTGGTATCCGGAGAACATATCCAGGAAGCTGAGGGCTTCATGATTGGCGGTCCCGTCTATGAGCTGGTCAATGCGGGGAAGCGGATATGCGTCCTTGGGGCAGGCCGCATTGAGGCTGGTGAAGTCGATGCACATTCTCCAAGCGCCTCCAGCCTTGCGTACAAAGACCGGATTTGAGAGCCAGGTGGGGTATTTGACCTCTCTGATGAATCCGGCTTTGAGGAGGCGTCGGACTTCCTCTTCTAGTGCCATTTGCTTTTCGACTGACAGGTGCCTCCTCCGCTGTTGTATGGGACGCGCCTTGGCTTTGACTGAGAGGCGATGCTCGGAGACCCTTCTGGGGACTCCGGGCATGTCCTCTGGCCCCCACGCGAAGAGGTCTTGGAACTCTCTGAGGAGTGCGAGTAATTTCTGGGCCTCTTCTTGGGCGAGGTGCGCGGAGATACGTACTGTCCTCTCTGGCCGCTCTGCATCTAGCGCGATCGCCACGTCCCCTTCGACCGCTTCCGGTCTCGGGACGTCTCCTCTAGTGTCGACTAGATCGACCTCGAGGTGCTCGATGGCGGCTTGGTAGCACTCTCTAGCCTCTTGTGGGTTACCTCGAACGCGTCCGGTTTGTCCTCCGCTTGGGAACTTAAGCATCTGGTGGCATGTGGATGCAACCGCCTCGAACGAAGCCAGGAAGCCGCGTCCAAGAATGGCATTATATGCCGAAGGGCAATCCGCCACGTGAAACTCCACGGGTCTGGTCTTTGTGATTCCTCCTTCTCCTATGGTGACTTTGAGCGTGATCGAGCCGAGGACACGGACTTTGGTGCCGGAGAACCCTACCAAGCTGGTGGTGGAAGGGTTGAGATCTTGGATGCTCTTTTTCATCCCTTTGAGTGCCGAGTAAAATAGTATGTCCGCCGAGCTCCCATTATCGACCAGGGCTCTAGTGACTTTGAACTTGGCGGTTCGAAAGGAAATGACCAAGGGGTCTTCCGAGTTTTCTTCGTCGGCCAACTCAGACGGTAGGAAGACGACCTCGGTTGGAGTTCTCCGCTGCACGTTAAGGCATTGAGCGATGCGGTCTCCGTTAGTTCTCGGGCGCTTCCGACCCCCAGCAATCGTTATGACTTCCATCCCATCGTCTTCATTTCGAGGAGCTCTGTAGGGAGGAGACTGCCTCGGGGAGGCGACCTTGTTCCGAGAGCGGGACCTTGATCTTTCCTTCCTTGTGCGTCTCGGCTTGTCCTGCTCGGGACTTGGGGACTCCTCCCGCTCTTCTGCTGAGTGTTCTCGGTGGGACCGCCTCATTTCTAGCTTGCTTCTGAGGTCCCCTGGGGCCAGATGTCGGAGCGTGGCCTTGAACTCTCTACACTCCGTGGTGTCGTGGGTCGTGATTTGGTGCCAGTCGCACCACTTTTTTCCTTCTTGCGGCTCCTGGGCGGAAGACGTCTCGTGCTTCCTTCCACCTTTCCTTCGGTCCCTTCCTTTTTCTCTGTCGGTGGAGAGGACATCTCTCCTTCCTTCTCGATCAGGGTACCGGTTCCGGTACGACCTGCGGTCCGGGGACGGCTTTGCTGGCCCCGGTCGTCGTTAGCTAGCGCTTCCTCCAACAAGATCGCTCGTCGTACCAGTTGGTCTAAGTCAGACCAGGCCGCCAGGGTTGCCTCCTTTTTTATCAACGTTCTTTTCAGCTCGAGACTAGTTGTCGAGATTCGGAGGTTTCCGGCGGCCACGACCGGGGAGATACCGTCTATTTCGCAAGCTATCGCGTTCCATCGGTCGTAGAACTCAGCAAGCGACTCTTCTTTCCTTTGTCGGCAACCTATGAGTGCCGAGACGGTGAGTTTGCGACGCCGTTGAGACGCGAACTTGGTGGAGAAGAGCATCGTAAACTGCTCAAAGTTTTCTATGATCCCTTCCGGAAGAGAGGTGTACCAAGTTCGGCATTGACCGCTGAAGGTAACCGGGAACGCACGACACAGATCCGAGTCTGTCGCGTTGATGAGCTGCATTTTCAACATGAACGCGCACAGGTGGTCGGCGGGATCGGACGTCCCACTATAGGTTGGCAGTCCCAGAGAGGAGAAGTTCGGGGGGACCGGGGTCTTGAAGAGCTCCCTTGATAGAGGGTTTTGCAGAACGTTCGGGCTTTTGTGCTTCCCGAAGGTTGACCGCAAGTGTTCCTCTAGAAAGTTGAGGTCCGGGTCGTCGGCCTCTAGTCCTCCGCCTTCTGTCCGAGCAGGGCTGTCGAGGATGAGAGCGCCCTTCAGTTTTTCGTCGCGTGCTTTTCCCCTCGAGCCCTCGGCGGGGTCGTCTCGGGTCTTCAGGAGTTGGAGAATTTGGGATAGGCTGTCTTGCATGCTTGCAATTTGCACCCCTTGGTTCTTGACCACCTCCTCCAACTCGGGCTCATCTTCAACCCTCGGTGATAAGCCTCGGAGGGTGTTGTTTTCGGTCATCCCCTTGAGGGGGGTTTCGAAATCGTCTCCCATCTTGTTCGCCACAAGTAGCAGGGCCCCACGGTGGGCGCCAAAATGTTTGTGCCTGGAATGTACCAAGCGGTTTGTGAGACTCTACCGGCCTTGGGCGGCTTCGATGGTCGAGGGCGGTCTTCGAAACCCTGCAGAAAGGTCCTCAGGGGGATCCTGGGACCTCCTCCGATGCCTAAGTTAGAGAGAGAAGTGAAGAATAAGTAAATAAGAGAGAGAATGGAGTTGGTAGAAGTTACCATCAATGTGTCCCTATGAGAGGTATTTATACTAGTTTCGGCTGGGCTATGCGCATTAAATGCTATGTCGGGCGGTCTAGAACGCCTCTGGCTTTTCCGTTGCCCCTTGTCAGACTCCGTACGTAAAAGTCGTATTGTCGGGCGGTTCTATGCCCGTACCCTTTCTGTTGTGTCGGGCGGTTCTTCCTCAATGGATGTGTCGAACCGCCTCTGGTCGGGCTCTTCTAATCGGGCCTTGCTTGTCCTTGCTTGGGCCTTGAATGCCTTTGGGCCTATGGGCCTCGTGGCTCAATGCTTGGCCTAACAATATATATATATATCTCATTGCCTCCGATGAATTGATTAAGAACATGAATTTGACAACTCAGAAATCAAAATGTACCCCCCAAAAAAAAAAACGAAGAAACCCCAAGGCCCAAAGGGGAAATTACAACATTTCGTGGGAAAGAAAATCATCACACCGAAAAATAGGAAAACAAATAATTTATATCAAGGAACGTGCCACGTTTTGTGACAAAGGACGTAGACATAATATAAAATATTAATTGTAGGGAAAAAAAAAGAATATAAAATTTCCAACCCGGGCGCTGGTCCGGCCGGATCCAATATTATCAGTTAGCAGCCCGGCAGGACTTCCTGATCTGCCCCTGCTGCCCGGTCAGCACCTCGACGGCACCCATGTTGACCATGGCCTGCCCGAACTTCGCGTTGAAGTCGGTGCGGGCGGCGATGTTGGAGACGATCAAACCGGTCACGAAGTTCCGGCTGGCCAGGTCCTGGTCGACCTGGAGGACGCCGTTGCCGCGGAGCAGCTGCTTGTGGTACGAGTTGTCGACGACGAGCGCGCTGGCCGGGTTCTGGTCCAGGTTCGCGGGGGCGGTGGTCGGACCGTTGGTTCTCGGGTCGGGGCAGGTCTTCTTGAGCGTGTTGACTAGGGTCGTGTTCATGGCCGGGTCGGGCCTCCCTGTGTTCTGGTAGTTGTAGAGCCGGCTTTGGTAGAACGCGCAGTGTGTCACCCCAACCGTGTGTCCGCCTAAAATAAAAGAGACGATGAATCTTTTATGAAACAATCCAATATCACATCGAAAATATAATGGATATGAATCATCAATCACATTAATACGATGTTTTTTGTGAAGTAACCCAAGTGCAATATCGTACTAATACGATGAATCATCAAAAGTGAACAATATCGTACTAATAGAGCTACCCGGTTTCAACAAGGAGAATGATCATTGTATATATTAGTGTGTCCACCTAGAACAATTAGTACGAGCCTTTTTGGGGAGGATACCCAAAAGTAAATTTGTGCCGGTTTGACCTAAAGCAGACAGTATCGGACTAATAGGGCACCCATTTTTCGACAGAGCCCAAAGAATTCGCGTTGTTGAAGATATTCCGTAATGAATCTTAGACCAACATATTAACAGATCCCCTCAACCAAAAACTAATCATATGAGCTATAAGTCTGCACAATTCGAAAATGGGGTAGCCTAAATTCAAGCAAAAAAAAAAAAAAAACTCTCGAAAAATCATCTGATCACAATAATTCAAATTATTGATTATCGTCAATAATGTATCTTAGACCACTTACTAACAATCATGATTTGGCAAAAGGAAAAGAAAAAGAGTGACCTACCAAGAAGATAAACCATGTCGACTGGAGAGAGGTTCTTGCGGGCAAACAACGAGAGGGCTTGATTGATAGGAATATTAGGAGCCGGAAGTGCAACATTCTTAGCTGGTGAAGCCGAATCTCTTCTCCCTGTTTGCACGTTGTAGAACCCTCCATTCGCCTGCATGAGAAAGACATCAGCGTTAGTAATAATTATAACGTACGTTATACGGTTTAAGCTGATGATCACAATACTGATTTAAGTGTATATGTAACAAAACTCACGAAGGAGACGGCATCTCTGGTGGCCATGGCGATGATGTCGGCACAGGACACGACCTGCTTGCACGCCGCCTCCAGCGCCGTCTTCACGGCGTCGATCACATCGTACCCTCTCACGCTCAGGTTCGGCGGCGCGTTCTTCTCACTGCCCGGCCCGTCCAGCAGGATGGAGGCGTCGCAGCCCTGGACGAAGCAGTCGTGGAACTGCATGCGGAGCAAGGCCGCCACGATGGTCGTGTCGTTCTGGTACTTCCCCCACACCACGCTCCGGACCGTGGACTCCACGTCGGTGGCGTTGCATTTGCCCTTGTAGAACCCGAACTGGAGCTGGGCCTGGGCTCGGTCTGCTGCCAGGCCCAATAGGACCACCACCAGGCCCAGTATTAGCAGGCCCGAGTTAACATGATGATTGCCCGCTGATCCCGCCATGTGCTTTGCTTTCTCTCTTCCCTCTCTTGGATTTTAGCTGTGAGTTTTCAGCAGGTGATTCGGATTTGGAGATGGAAGGGAGAGAATGGTGGAAGCTCCGTGGTTTGGTGTTGAGTTTATATAGTTATTATGGAAAGTTCGGTGAGTTGTGCTTTCCATAGAACAGCATTGCACGACGACGACGGCGGCGACCAATAAAGAGATGGAGGCCACGACCAGCGGCGGGTCCCACCAAACTCCACGTCATCGTCATGGAGTCTTTGATGGGAGGGAGTTGGGACTTGGGTCCATTATTATTTCTGTAAAAAAAAAAACGTGCAGTCCTGAAAGCTTGATATGGCAGAGATCCTTTTGTTCCCTCGTTTAATTAATACTGACACTAGGAGTCAACGTTGGAGATTTGTTATGATTAAGTATACAGACTAATTAATCACTGCTGTTTTTTTTTTTTTTTAATTAAGAAGATTTGGACACGATTTCCGACAGGTCTTTTGCCAAATCTGTATTTGCCAGCCAAAAACGTATCTTTAGACTTCTTTAACTTTTAGGCGTAAGATATTACAGTCTGTGTTTGACTAATTATGCTCGGTTTTCGTAAGTGTTGATGTCATCGTCAAGCTTAATCTCCTTGTGAATGGGAGCAGAACCGGAAGAATGTACATGGATTAGTTGATTAAGTTTTGATAAAGCTCACCATGAAAATCATATAAATTTCAATAGTAAAGTATCGAGCCAACAGAAGAAATTCAACGAAAATCAAATGAGAGTGATCAATGGCCTCAACTAGCTAGATAATATGTATATGAGATATGGAGTGGGACTACTCTCGATTTAGTAGATCATTTTGAAAGCAATGAACAAATGATGAAGACCCTCTTAAAGACATTTCGATTTTCTAAATTCGACTTTCGATGTGATAGTGAGAGAAATTTGAATGCACGACTCTTTGATAGTGAATGGTGAGAGCTTTTGATATCACGTCAAAAATTAGTTATGCTAAATAACTCTAATCTTATGCTCTTTTACAGAGTATAACTAGGATTTTATTAATCTAGCGTTACGTAAAATGATAAGTCGTTACGAAAACCTTCCGTAACGATTCTATTTTAACTGTTGCGTAAGACTAACAAGCATTACGTAATTGTTACGTAATAAACATTAATTTTACGTAACACGACCTATAAAACCTGCTACAAAACATGCTAAATAACTCCAATCTTATACTCTTAAAACAACACACCAACTAATCATCAAAGTTAACTATATTGGATTTTATTAAATAATTACTTCACAAATATTCAAAATTAACTAGGCTAAATTTAGCTTTACCGTCGCTCTCCTTGCCCCGATAGGCCGTAGGCAAGTATTCTTCTTTCTCATACGGTTTTACACCTTCTCCATCTATCGATACAAATTCGCAATAATAACCGATCGATTTCGGTACAAGAGTTTCACATGCCACTAATTAATTACTCAATCATGTCCCAAAGATCATCATCATCATCTGGGTTCCCTTCGACGTCGTCGCCGCTGCTGCTTCTTCGACTGGCCGTGTTTTCGTTAAGCCTTCTTCACCTTTCTCTCGCCGCCGCCGCTGCTAGGTCCACTCCTACTGCCCGCCGCTTCGTCTCGCTCTCCCCTGATCAAGGTATATATAATATATATATGCATGCATTCACCGGACGTCGATCGTTTCCTGTCACCGACTAACGGTGGTTAATTCCGGCCAGCTCCAGATCAGTTTAGATTCATTGCTTAGTTTTCCCATGCAGTGCAACAAAACACGCGTCTGGTCTGTGACTCGGTCCAACTGGGTTACACGTGTCAATTATGTGTGTGTAGTATATACTTCTCTCTTTCCCCATAGAAGTCCACGTGTCAGTTAACTAGCTCTCGGTCTCTCCCACTTTTTTCGATTCACATCTTATTACAATTTACAGGAGATGAGTTGAAGTTACCGTGGCGGATCGGTGGTGAAATCCAGCTGTCGACCGTCGGCAGGAAGGGCGGCGGTGGTCGCGGAGGGGTTGGAGTAGGCGGCGGCGGTCGCGGAGGAGGCGGTGGAGCGGGGGCTCGTGGCCGCCGTAATGGTGCGGTGGTGAACTGCGGTCGGCCAAGTGGCCAGCTGGTTGGCCTTGTAGTTTTAGTCACCGTTTTCGCCTTACTTTTCTAAGAACCATGTGATACGGATCTGCGCTTCATTTTTATGTTTTGGTAATAATGTTTTGGTTTTTGGAATTAATGGGGGGGATTTTTGGAAATTATTGGTAGTTTTGGAAAATTAGATGAGATAGGATGGAGTAGGTTAATGTGATTTTGAGCTTCTTGTATGACGTCATTTGTAGAAGGGAGATCGTTGAGCAAATAAACAACTTCATGACCCGCCAATCTATGTATCTAATTTGTACTATACTTTCAAAAGTCTTTTTTTAGAATACGTCGTACGTGTGTTATGACTTGTTTCATCTTGTCGTCGTCAAAATAGAAAATTTATGTGTCAGTAAATGTAATTAATTCAATTAAGTTTGTGTCATGAAAGTTTTGATATCAACCAAAGTATACACCTTTGGGTTGTGTTGCCTATCCAACTTTAATGTGTTGGGTTTTCATTGATCACGTCACTTTGATCGAAACTAAACTGGGTGAATGCCACGTTTGGTCACTGTGATTACTAAATCGTGTTATGTTTAGTCACTAGAAAAAATTAATATCAATTTTGGTCACTCAAATTACTAAAACATGTCACATTTAGTCACTCTCCCGTTAGCTTCCGTCAACCTCCGATCACTCGAATTACTTTTTTTTTGTTTATGAATGTCACTCGAATTACTGAAACATGTCACATTTAGTCACTATCTCGTTGGCCTCCGTCCAACTCCATTAAATGTTTAGTCACTAAAATAAATTAATATCATCAATTTTGGTAACTCGAATTACTACATTTAGTCACTATTCCGTTAGCTTTCGTCCAACTCCATGACATGATTTAATAATCTCAGTTACTAAATGTGGCATTTATAAAAAGATAAACTTATTTGGTTGAAAACTTGAAATCACTGGTGGCTAAATATATATTGCAAAGGAAAATAAGAGTAGAGCATGCATGTGATTGCCCTGATTGGTGGGGGTGGATGGGCGGGTCCAAGATAGGGTCAGTAACCACTGGTTACTGACCCATCAGTAACAACACGCGGGCCGTCGATTTGGGGAGGGAGAAATCGTGTGGATGGGCTGGACGCTGGGTGGGGAGGGGCATTTTTGTCCGTTTTCGTATTTTTAATTTTTTATTACTTCCGCATTTCAATGGCTGGCTTTTCAATAAAAGGGAGAGAATCTTCCTTCTCTGCAACTCAACTTTCTTCCTTCTCTCTTCCTTTTTTCAATCTCTTCCATAACCTTTCTCTTTCTCTATTCCTTCTCTCTTACTTTTTTTTCTCACAATCTCCTTTTCAAATCTAAATCTGCTCTCTTCCTTCTTCATTTTTTTTCTCTAGCATAAAAATTGTAGCCACTCTCTTTCATTACATTTCTTCTCTTCATCAACTCGTTGGACTCAATTCCGATCTTTCTCATTTTTTTGGCATTTTGGTGTTCTTGATTGAGGAAGAGGAAATGAGAGGCATCAGAAGACGATTTTTTTCTCTCCCTCCTTCTGTTTTTTTCCTTTTAGATAATATATATTGATATTATGACTCTATACCATATGGTATTGGGTGGTAACGAAATATATATTGACATTACCATACTATACCCTATGGTAATTTATGGTATTGCGTGGTAACGAAATATATATTGATATTACCACTCTATACCATATGGTATTGTGTGATATTACCACACTATACCATATGGTATTGTGTGGTAACGAAATATATATTGATATTACCACTCTATACCATATAGTATTGTGTGATATTACCACACTATACCATATGGTATTGTGTGGTAACGAAATATATATCGATATTACCACACTATACCCTATGGTATTGGGTGGTAACGAAATATATATTGATATTACCACACTATACCATATGGTATTGGGTGGTAACGAAATATATATTGATATTACCACACTATACCATATGGTATTGGGTGGTAACGAAATATATATTGATATTACCACTCTATACCATATGGTATTATGTGAATTGTGTGATATTACCACACTATACCATATGGTATTGGGTGGTAACGAAATATATATTGATATTACCACTCTATACCATATGGTATTATGTGAATTGTGTGATATTACCACACTATACCATATGGTATTGGGTGGTAACGAAATATATATTGATATTACCACACTATACCATATGGTATTGGGTGGTAACGAATTATATATTCATGTGGCAAATATTACCATACCACATGGTATGCTATTGTTTAATACCAATCAATACCATATGGTACAGTCAATACCATATGGTATGACTGGTAATAACTGACAAATTTTTTTGTGTCCAAAAAATATCAAAGTGGATATCATTTTGAAGAGCACAATTAATCTGATCTAACTGTGCAAAAAAAATTAAATTTCGACTTAAAACGAGTGAGAAATCGTCCGTCAAAGATTAAGGGAAGGAAAATTAAATGTTTTGCCAGGAGAGAGAAGGAGGGGCTGATAGGCTCCGGTCAAAAGTGAGCAACAATAATAAATAGGAGTAAGTGCAATTTTACCGTACTACCCTTTTCACATTTAATTTAAATAAAAAAGTGACTGACACGTGGGGACCAGGGAAGGGGTTACTGATGGGTTACTGACCCATCAGCTACTGACAAGATCCGGACCCGGATGGGCGAGATTCGTGAGAGGAAATGGACAGCTGGCACTGCCAGCATCTCGACAAGGACTTGGAAAAAAAATAGTATCTTTTCCTATGGAGAGTGGTTCACAATATCGTCTGCCAACGGAGAAGAACATAAAAGGAAGAAAGAAAGATGCAACCGCAACCACAACCACTGGAAGGAAGAGAAATGATGAGCAAGAAGTTGTACATGAGAGGAGTCGTCGACGGGTTGGGTAAAAATTAATGTGGATGCAGCAGTGATGGAAGGCGAGGGCACAGGTCTGTCGTGATGAAACTGGCAACTTCTTGATGGCAGTTGTACGTCGGGAAAGAAATCGGTGGTCGCCGGAGATTGCTGAACTCCTAGGCGACAGGCTTCGGTCTCCGACAATTGGAGGTGCATGGATTTCGGTCAGTCATCATCGAAACTGATAGCCATAATATTTTTTTTTTTCTTTCAAACTCTAGAAGTCGGGGTACACGAAGATGAATACTGGAACGTTACACGAAGAATTACACGAAGAAGCTTAGCAGATGGAACTGATACCCTAGCGTTTTGCTAAACGAGGTTGTAACTGAACGGCCCATTTGATCACCACACGAACTGTCATTGGGAAGTCCAAGAAATTTGGGTTGCTAGACTACCGGTATATTCCCTGTCCACTTTGGCTAAGGATTTTACGGTGTGATTTGGATGGATCAATTGATAAACGAGACAATTTGACCAATCGACTCATTTTACAAAATGAATCAATTCGGATTGTCTTTCCACACCCTAAACAATTATAATTATCTTAAAATGTGTCAATTTGAAATTTCCCAACCCAAATTAATTAATATGTTAGAATTCCTCATCTAATCCATAAATTACAGATGCCCACCGCAAAGCCTTTTGACCTTCTTGTGCCTTTTTTTTGGGATATGTTACTCATTCCTGCCGACATAACATAGCCACTTGGCCAGTAGCTGGCCTGTCGATCCTCCCACGAGAGCTGGACCCTATAGAGACAAAAGAGCTTTTCAGAATCAATCCAAATCAGGACATATAACATCTGCCTTTCCATTATACTTTTAAGACTAAAGCCCTCTGTAGTCTGTACAAAACAGTCAGTTTGTAGAACTGTACATAACCATCATTTTACGCTTAACTGAGATTTACCTTGTGGAACACAAAAACTTTAGAAATATATGGCAGTATGTGAGGCAGCAAGGCAACTCCTACAAGACCAAGAATAGAGCTCACTGTCAAATCAAAACCCATTGTCAAAGATGAATACATGATTTCAAACCTTCCATCTACAGCCACTCTCTCTCTCTCTCTCTCTCTCTCTCTCTCTCTCATCAGTCCCAGCAGCGCCATTCCTGCAGAAAATTTTCATAGTGAGTGGTGCTAGAGGAAGAAACCACCTTCACACAGAGCTTGGTATTTCTGTGTTGTGAACAGATTCCTTAGCAGCAGAAAAGATGATTGGGTTTTTGTTGAAACCTTCGTTTCCCCTCTTGCTGCTTCTTTCTTCGTTGTTTCTTCACCACTGCCACGTTCTCGCTGCTCCAAGTTCCCAGGATGATCTCTCTGTTACAGGTTTCGTGCGCGATCTCCCCGCTGAAGGTAAGTTCATAAAAACCCAGATCTTTTTGTCTTCTCCTGGTCACCTGGTGGTTTCTTGGACGGTGGGACCATTTTCGCAGCTTTGGTTCAATACCCATTTGGCCGTTGATCCTACACACAACAAATTCGCACTCTTCTGTTTAGTTTCCTCAGTCACGAAATTCCTCAAACACCTTGTGTGCACCGCAACTTTTCGGTCATTCTGCCAGAAATTAGCCGATGGTGAAGGTAATTGTGAATTTGCTCTGTTTTCTTTGCAGAGAAGTCGCCCTTGTGGTCGTGGATCAAGACTGGATCAGCAGTGTCCTCTGTAAACAGGAAAGGAGGAAGCAGAGGGGGAAGCAGAGGAGGAAGCAGAGGCGGAGGCGGAGGCGGAGGCTGGACAAGTGGGAAAGGTGGTGGAGGGAGGGTTCCAATATATGCAGCTGGAGGGGCTGCTGGAGCTGCCGGAGCTGCTGCCGGGTATGCTGCATCTGGACCTCACCGCCATGACCTCCACAATGGCGCAGCCTCGAACAGTGGGAAGCCCTGGCAGAATCTGGCACTTGCAGTCCAGTTGGCGATTGCTCTGTTCTTCAACCCTTTTGCATAGATGCGGGGTTCCGTTGAAGAAAATGTAAGTCGATTCTAGGATTAGGAACCGTGAATGTAGTAGTGAGCTTTAGGCTTTTATCTGTGGATGCTTATTATGATTCCTCAACTGTAGCTTACTGTGTTTTGAGGTGATTAATTGAATTGGTATTGTATAAGGGTTTTGTAATCATAGAGAGAGTATAAAATGGACTAATGGATCTGAAGATTAGAGCAGTGATTGATGGCTAAAAAAGGGAAGGGAGGAATGAGATTGTATTGTACGTTGTTGGTCTTGTAAGTTGTAACCATAGTCTTTGCATTCAAAGTCCAACGTCATAATCACTCGACCAAACTTGTATTGACAATAACAGTGAACTTGTTAAAATACCCCATCAATCTTCTAGCCTTTCCACAATTGACTCCTTCGTGCACCACAATGCAATCAGAGTAGCTCCTTCGCTTTTGCGGGAGAAGAAGGAACGACCTTTTGCTATCCAATGGCAATGGTTCGACGAAATTTCGTCCAGAGGCCATAGGTTTCCCCATTCAGTCCGTCTGTGGCTTCTGCAGAAGTTCATCCACTTCGCAATCCCTTTTCCCTTTTCTGGTATGGTAATATTGCCACCAGCTGCCGAGTTGCTTGCTATCGACCAAGCTTCTTTCTCACGACGATCATCTTGGTTGTGTTTGTTGCTACTGCCGCTTCTGGGCATTGCTTCACTGTGCATCCATCTCTCTCGCGCCCCTGTTCTTGCAGCTACTGCTGATCCAACTCCCTGCTCTCATGATCACCATGGGCCGGCGCCTGAAGGTATTACTAAGAGGCCCACTTTTCACCCGGCATCTTTTAACTTAAGTTCTCTATTCTGAGCTGGGAATTTCCGCAAGCACCTTGTGTGCATGCGACATCTCTTGAAGCCGTGTGAAATTGCGGGAGAGTTCGTGTCGATGAAAGTGAGCAGCTGCCCCTCGTAAGCATCAAACTGAAAGGAAGTTAAGCGGATTTCGTTGTGATAACAAAAGACTGTTGAGTAACATTATTCTACAATATCTGTTGCAGCGCACACTTCACTACTACTTTAGGAGTGGCACCTCCACTTAACAAGTGGCTCTTTCTTAACGAGGAATGCCCCCAAAAGGCAACTGCTGGTTTTGAATTCTGAGAAAACCCAATTCCTTAAGCTAAAAATATCTGACAAGGCACGACCTGCTTTTCATTCCAACTCAATCCAGCGCCATCAACAACTAACCCATTAGCTCTCAGTGATGAGAAAGCGAATAACTTTTCTGTATGTAGTGTGGCCCTCGAAGGTTCCTTCAAAGGCCATAGTTTCCCCGATTCGTCGGTTTAGCAGGTCTTCAACGGCAAGCGCCCCTGCAAATCCTTTTTTCCCTTTTTCGGCTGGCAAAACTCCTTTAATTTCCCCCGTCCCAGACTCTCCACCTAATACCATATTTGGCCGAAGTTTAGTAGAATGATGGGTTTCTCACTGGAAACCAGATTTGTTCTCCTGCTGTTCCTGCTTCTTACGGCGAGGTATCTTCGTCATCACGATGGTATTGGTGTCTCCCCTGTTCTTGCTGCTCCAAGCATCCCGCATAACGATCTCAACCCTGAAGGTAAAGTTCCCAAGTTGTGATCTTTTCCCCCATCCCGATGGTTTCTCGGCCCGATTTCGCGTTCTTCTTAGGACCCATCAAGGCGCTAGTGCCAGAAAGTTCAGTTTTCTCAGCGACGAATTTTCACAAACACCTTGTGTGCGTACCCGTTGGGAGTCGTTTAACCCAAATGCGCCAATTTGGTTGACATTGGGAAACTGTCCTTTTCTTTACAGGGAAGTTTCCCGTTTCGACGATGATCAAGACTGGAACGGTATCCTCTGTAAACAGGCGTGGCGGTGGAGGCCACGGAAGCGGAGGCCGTGGTGGGCGAGGCCGCGGCGGTGGCGGGGAAGGAGGAGGAAGAGGTGGGGCGGGGAGCATGATTCCACTATATGCTGGGGGAGCGGCTGGGGCCGGAGCCCATGGCCATCACAATGGCGCAGCCCTGAATCGAGGGAAGCCCAATCCAATACACAATCTGGGTCTTGCATTGCTCCTGGCTCTCCCCTTACTGTTCAAGTTTTTTGCGTAGATTTTTTTTTAAGGTAAGTACTTTGCGTAGATGATCATGATGTGCAGCTAGGGTATATCAACGGATGGGTAATTAGCATAAACGGTCACACAACTATTCACTTAGTACAAAACGGTCACTAAACTTCATTTTTGCACGATCCAGTCACACACCTTTGGACTAATACCAAAACGGCTACTCCGTCCAATTCCATCCAAAAAACCGTCAATTAAGTCCAGTCAGCTTGACACGTCATCGAAAAAATAATAAAAAATGGACAAATCAGACCCACTTAACCAGTACACCCGACCCAACCCGGCCGTCCAACCCACCCAACTTAACCTGTACAATCACGCGAGAAGGCCGGGTTGAATCTCCCAGTCGCTTTCTTTGCCGAGGAGGGCGATTCTTCTCCCCTCCGCGATTCTTCTCCCCGCGATTCTTCCCCGCGATTCTTCTCCCCGCCGCCTGCTTTCATCGGTCGCCGCCGTGGGTTCTAACCCACTCCGGCCACCTCCTTCTTCTCCCCCACCAGCAAACTCTCTCTTCTCTTCTGGTAGGACGAACAGCCCGAAGAACTGGAACATCGCGCCATCTGTCTTGTCTCGTCTGTCTTCTCCCCGTGATTCTTCTCCCCGCCGCCTGCTTTCATCGGTCGCCGTGGGTTCTAACCCACTCCGGCCGCCTCCTTCTTCTCCCCCACCAGCAACTTCTCTCTTCTCTTCTGGTCGGACGAACAACCCGAAGAACTGGAACATCTCGCCACCGTCTGTCTTTTCCCGTCTGTCTTGCCACCGTCTGACCAAATAATGGAGGAGTGGAAGCTTCGTACGAGTGGAGGTCTGCCCGATTATGGTGAGTAAATCAATTGATTGAAACTTTTACCTTTTTAGGGTTTCAGAACATGGTGGACCACTTGGGTGGGTGTGAATGTCGGTATAAAGAATGAAATTTGTTGTCGGGTAGTGTATATGAATGAAAACGAACTGGTCCCCATTTATTATTCTATTGCTGGTGGTTTGAAAGTGTATTTTTGTCTATGGAAAGCAACTGGTCTCCATGTGAAACTACACAAAACAACTTAGGAGACAGATTTGTCTATGGAAAGCAACTGGTTTGAAAGAACTTAAATCTTTCCATTTCTTTTATTTGCAGGAACTTCGGACCTTTTTACCATCGAGATCAACAGCACGGGACAACTTGGTTGCATGGAGTATAGTAATGGCAAGGTGGACTACATTGACTTTGTCGATGTCGACAAATTGTCAATGCTAGAAATAAAGGAGATGGTGAGAACAGCAGAAGTGGAAAATGCAATGCAAATTTTTTGGTTGATGCCAGGGGCAGATATGCAGAACGGGCTGAAGTTACTGGAGAATGATCATGATGTGTTGGAGATGGGTTCTCACGTTCCTGAAGAGAGGGTTATCCAACTCTACATCAAGCACGCAGATTCTAGTTGTGGCAGCCCTGATACTGCACATATGGTCTATTCTGTTCGAAGTTCGGAGGAAGAAGTTAGGGTGTGTTCGGGTTCAGTGAGAAGGGGACGAGGACATACAGCTAGAGGAGGGAGACAAACACGAGATTCCACATGTTCATCTCATAGAGAGGAACCACCTGCTGCCCATGTTAATGAAGAAGATGACTTTGATAAGGTATTGGAGAGAGATGATGAGTATGCAAGTGAGGCTGAGTTGGTGGAGAAGACTAGATGGGGCAGCGAAGAAGACGACGATGTCTTCAATGTCGAGACTATATTCCCACAGTTTCGAGCTGAACGGGATATGGAGATGCCTGAGATGAAGATTGGCCAACTATTTGCATCATTTGACGAGTTCAAAGTCGCTTGCAAGTCACATGCTGTGACTCAAAGAAGGGACGTGAGATTTCCAACCAACGACAAGAAGAGAGTTATATGTGTGTGCTCAGAGGATTGTGGGTTTAGGTTGTATGCTGCAAAAGGGAAGGACTGTGACACTGTTCAGATTAGGTCGGGCAATCTCGAGCATACTTGTGGAGTTGATGAAGACCTAAGAGCTGCTGCGCCGTCTTTCCTTGTGAAGAAGTACCTAACTCGGTGGAGGGTGGATCCATCGTGGTCAATTCCGAATCTGGTGCAGACTGTTATGACAGATTTAAGCTTGAAGATTAATCGAATGAAGGCATATAGAACAAAACAGTTGGCTTTGAAAACAGTGCATGGGGAGGACAGCCTCCAGTTTGCAAAGCTATATGCCTACAAGAAAGAGTTGGAGGCAAGAAATCCTGGAACATCAGTGGTGATTGAACATACCGGAAGAACCTTTGAGAGCATCTACATATGTTTGGGTCCTATAAAAGAAGGATTCAAAGCTGGATGTAGGAGAATTATTGGTGTGGATGGATGTTTTCTGAAGGCTATGCCTGGATGGCAGCTTCTTTCAGCCGTGGGTATCGATGGGGATGATTGCATGTACCCCATTGCATGGGCAATAGTAGAGAAGGAGTGTCATGACACATGGGAGTGGTTCATGGCACATTTGGGTGAAGACTTGGAAATTGACCAATCATCAGATTGGACTTTCATGTCTGATAGGCAAAAGGTAAGTTTACTTTAACTTGAATAATGTAGTTGTTAATGTTTTAGTGCCGTTTGAGAGTTTAATCTAAATCTGAAAATTCGGTTTGTTTGTTTTTTGTGCTAGGGTTTGATGAATGTTATGAACTCAATGTACCCTAATGCCGAGCACTGATACTGTGTACGACACATGTATGTGAATTTCAGTGGCAAGTTTAGTAGGTCTAAGAGGCTGAAGGAACTCTTCTATGGAGCTGCAAGTGCCACCTATTTGGCATAATACAAGGCAGCAATGGAGGAGTTGGAGAAGGTTGGTGAAGGCTACAAGATTGGGGATCAAACACCTCATCAGTGGATGATGGAAAGAGAAGCAACACAATGGTGCAAGGCATTCTACAGAAGAGCTTGCAAATCTGACATGGGAGTTAACAACCATTGTGAGAGCTTCAACAAATACATTCTGGAGTCAAGAGATATGCCAATTCTGTTTTGTTTGGAAGATATATTCGGGAAAGTCATGAAGAGGATTGCTGTTAGGAAGAGACAGATGGAGCGTTTGGAGGAGAGAAGAGTTCTTATATGCCCTAAGCCATTACTGAAATTGAACAAGCATAAGGAGTGGGCTGCCTTTTGCTTCCCAACTTTCAATGGAAACATGGAGTATCAGGTTCAGTCATACAGGGGCAGGTATGTTGTGGATATGCACAATCGAACGTGTGCTTGTGGTAGGTGGCAATTGAGTGGCATCCCTTGTCAACATGCCATTTCTTGCATGAAGATGAATAAGGATACTCTAGAGTTGTATATGGCTGATTGTTATCGTGTAGAGGCATGCAAGAGGTCCTACTCATATCCTATCCACCCTCTCAATGATTCAACCCAATGGCTTCATGATGATTGCATCGAACTTGACTCACCGACTTTTGTTGAGAAAAAGAGGGGTCCTAGACAAACAAAGAGACGCAAGGAAGCTTGGGAGTTGGAGAAAACAAAGCAAGACAAGCGGGGAAAACAATACAAAGCAATGTCAAAAAGTGGAGTTGAAATGACATGCACTGTATGCGGTGCCAAAGGACACAACAGTCGCTTTCATAAAAAGGTTTGAATCTAACGATGATTCTATTCTCCTAACTGATAAATATATGTTTAATGACATGCAATGTTATCCTTCCTTTGTTCAGAATGGTGGAGGAAGCGAGGAACCAAGGGAGGCAGCCCACTCTCCTCAACAGCGGGGAGCATCTCCAGAAGCATCATCTCCCGGAGCCGAGACAACAGCCTTTATGCCTACTCCTGCTTGTCCACCCATCACCTGGTCCAGAACCAAGGTCACAGTTAGCAGGGGTAGGGGGAGGGGTAGGGGCAGATCTAGCCAGTAAAGCAACAACAGTAGGATAGACTTTGATGTTTGGGAAGTATGTTGTGGAACTTGTTTTGTGGAGCTCGGCAGACTCGATTTTTGGGCATGTTGATTGGTTGATAGAGAACTTTCGTCATTAGCCAATCCATGTTAAGTAGAATGGAATGCTTGGTATTTGTAATCGTACAACTGAATGTTAAGTATTGTGTAATGCTTGTATTCCAAGGTTTATATAATGCTAATTTTCATTTCCAGGTCTAAAATGTTCGTACTAAACAGTCTGTCGATTTTCATGTTCTATAGTTGTGTGACCATTTTGTTACAATGGCGAAAGAATTGTGACCGTTAAAATTTTAAGTGAATTGTTATTTTACCAATTTGTTCTCGACTACAAAGATTTGTTACCATCTTGTTACATATCTGAACCACAACACAAACCTTTAAATTAAGGATTACAGATCCAAACAAAGGGTGTACAGAGAGAAAATCAAAATTTTCCTAAACATATCTGCCAACAACAATTCCCACAGTCACACAAATCACTACAAAAATTAGATTTATCAGCCGTGCATACAGATCTTCACTTCGGTTGCCTATTCTGCTTTGTCCATCATTCTGTCCAGTAGAGATAAAAGAAGCAGCGGCACTCGGCTGCGAGCTGCAATCACACTGAATCTCTTCTCTCGACTTTCTCTCCAGGTTGTTAATCTTCCTCAAAAGCCCATTGATGACTACTTTTGTCCTAGCTTCAACTGGAGGATCGATCCACTCAAAGAAATCACAATAGTGAGGGAGTTTCTGGAGTTAAAATGAAAGAATGGATTACCAAATCTTTCCACAATTAACACAGAAATCCAACTAATCCAGCATCCTTACCAAGTACTTTCTCTTACAACGGAGGAACCTTCTACCCGGATTATCTTCTGTCCACGATGTTAGCAAGACAACTCTCTCTTGACACTTACAATTTGGGAGGGAGCCCATGAGGAGTAGGACCTTCTTTGTGAGGAAGATTTTGGATTGGGAGTTGGTGTTTCCTCCCAATCTGGGATTAGGTTTTCAGAGAGGAGAAAAGAAGAAATGAAAGAGAGATTGAGTTTTCTTCTCGGGTTGGGTTTGTATTTATATTAGACAGACTTGGGTTGGGTGGGTTGGACGGCCGGGTTGGGTCGGGTGTACTGGTTAAGTGGGTCTGATTGGTTCATTTTTTATTATATTTTTGGATGACGTGTCGAGCTGACTGGACTTAATTGACGGTTTTCTGGATGGAATTGGACGGAATAGCCGTTTTGGTATTAGTCCAAAGGTGTGTGACTGGATCGTGCAAAAATGAAGTTTAGTGACCGTTTTGTACTAAGTGAATAGTTGTGTGACCGTTTATGCTAATTACCCATCAACGGATTGACAAGATGTTGGACTTAGATGTTCGACCGATATAACCACAAAAAAAAAGGAAAGTGGGTGTATGCATCACGTTTTAACATTAGTTGACATGTATATCAAGAGCAAGATTTGTCCAACAAAACGGTAAAAAGTTCGATTGTTCGAACGACTTCCATATCATATTATGATTGGATACATATTATTGAAATAACCATCTTCTCTTAAATTCAGTTACTTATAAAACAGTACAATCGACCATTATAAACCACAACATATACAAAATACCGATATATTTCATCCTCGGACAATCAAATTTATCGTTGAAACTCCAAATCAACGTAACTTGTAATTTCAACAAAGTGATGTTTATTATCATCACATAGCCTATTTAGTGTTTCACACACACGGGCATTGTTCCTTTGCATTCAACTCACAGGAATGACAAAAATCCCCTCTCAATCACCGCCACTCCCAGTTACCCAGCCAAGGCTACATCCGTAATTTCGACATATCGCTCCGCCAAACAAAACCCAGCGCCACGAATCTGCGGTTCCTTCGCTGCCCCGCTTCATCTTCCTTCCCCAATCAGCCACTCAAAGAAAAACCCAAATTCCCCACTTTCCCCGGCAGCCGCCCCCCTCAAAATGGGCACCCGACGGGACGGCAAGTGGAGCTGGGCCTCGTTCCTCGCCGGCGGGGTCTCGGCCGTCGCTGGCGCCGCCCTCCTCCGCGCCAGGCCCAAGGACCCGACGTTCCACCTCATCTCCATCAGCCTCAGCTCGTTCAAGCTCAACTTCCCCGTCCTGGACGCCGAGCTGACCCTCACCGTCCACGTCACCAACCCCAACATCGTCCCCATCCAGTACTCCGCCGCCACGATGTCGATCTACTACGACGGGTCGCTCCTCGGGTCGGCCCGGGTCGAGGCCGGGTCGCAGCCGGCCAAGTCGTGCCAGCTGCTCCGGCTCCCCGGTCGGCTCGACAGCCTGGAGCTGGCCCACCACGCGAAGCAGTTCCTCAACGACGTCGCTTCGAGGGAGATGGTGCTGGATGCCAAGGTGGACATCGGTGGGACCGCCAAGCTGCTGTGGTGGGACCACGGGTTCACCATCCACGTGGAGAGCAAGGTGACCGTCGATCCGCTGTTTTTGGACGTCGTTGATCAGGAAAATAACTCGACCATGGATCTTTGACTTTGCTTAGTAGTTGTTATTTGTTTAGCCTGTGTTGTTACGTTGTTTGGCAGTTGACCCAATTGTAACAAAGAAACTCTTGTCTAGATCGTTTTGATGAGAAATTCTATTGAATTTACTTGATCTAATTATTTCGTTTTGAGACAATCTAGTCAAATTAATTTATTTTACCGCATAAAATTTTGGATGAAACAAGGAGAGGAATTTTTACTTTTAACTCATTTTAATACAATCAGTAATAATGTATTGCTACATATGAATCCATCCTTTGAGGAAACTGCGGTAATTCATTTTTGCGAAGCCATGTAACCTCATCGCTAGGAGATGAATTTGATCGTTTGAAGTCGCAATTTATAAAAGTCACACCAATCTCGTCTCCATCAGCCGCCGCCTCCCTGCTTCTGCGGTAACTCGAACTAGGCGATAGAAGACGCAGAGAGCGAGGGCTGCTGCGCCTAACAAAATCCCGTCGTCCGATTGTTGGAGAAGCGATGGAGAAGGGAAAGAGCAGGGAAGTGACCGTCTCGGCTCTGCAGTTCGCCTGCACGGACGACGTCTCCACTAATGTCGCCACCGCCGAGAGGTCTCGCCACCACGACTTCTTCCCTTTTTGAATGATTCCTGCAGTAGTTAATTGATTGCCCTCTACTTGGTGACATAAAACAATATTCGCTTTTGCAAATTTCCCAATTCATTTCTTACTGTACTGAATCAAACCCAGACGATAGATGCGTGATTGTTGTCGTGCGGTGAGCTGAATTTCTCCTGAAGGTTCTGCCTTTTGGGGTTTTCTCGCCCTTTCTTTGGCTGGGAACTTTATGCATTAGATAAAAATTGGTCGAATTGGCAGGTTTTTTGGATGGAGTGCTGATTATGGAAATTGCTAGCTTTGCCATATCTGGTAGTATAAAGTTGGTTAGGAAATGGTCTAGGGCTTCATTTTCCTGCTTGAGATCGCTTCTTGGTACATGGACTTGGAGTCTTGGACCGTGGCTTGCCTCTGTAATTGGAAAGTGTCTTTGCTGATTGATCAGTGAGTCAGAGTCTCAGGGGTCCCCTTTAGGCTATCTAGTGGTTATCTTTCTCGCACTGCACAAATCTTTCCCAATTCCTTTGTCAGAGGGATATGGAGATAATGCAGTGTTTCTATTAACATTCCATGTGGTTACACCAACCGGATAAATGCATCTGCTTATGATGAATATTACTCCCTTATATCTTACTCTTTTCTGGTTTAGAACCTGTTACAATGTTCTCCTAGTCCTACAGCAAGCTTCCTCAATGATATTACATGGATACTGCACTTCCTATTGTTTTAAGTAAAGACTGGATTTCCTGGTTTAGAAGATAATCATTGGATGCTTCATTGTAAGTTATTGTTTTTGTTTAGTTATTGCTCTCACCATTTGATCCATTTTCTCCTGATTGGCTTTCTGATTCTCTTTGCCACTGGCTATGGATCTGTGGTGTGTGTTTTCAACATTTCAACCAATTGGTTACCTCTTTGATTCTTCTTTAGAATCTGTGTGGTTTCTAGTGAAATAGGTGACTTGCAGTTGATCTAATTGTATTAATTCGGCGAATTTTGTGCAGGTTGGTAAGAGCGGCTCATTCAAAGGGTGCAAACATCATTCTTATTCAGGTCTGTTCTTGTGGCGCACCTTGGCATATCATGCCTAACAATTTCTTTTGATCCGAGGATGAGAGGGCATTAATTTCCTTGGTTCCTTTGGAAAGGCTGATCATTTGGATTACTTCGAAGGCTAATAATTTAACTGGCATGATGAAAGAGAGCAGCTAAAGAGTGTAGTTTAGGATGCCACTGATGGGTCCAGGGCACAGACATTTCTCATCTGGGCGCAAAACTATATTACTTAACATTACCTGGATGGTCTAAAATGAGTTCATTACAACCCATACTGAAATGATGATTATGGTGCGTTTTCTATTCTTCAAGCCTTTTAAGTTCTTCAAATGCTTTCCAGGAACTGTTTGAGGGATATTACTTCTGTCAAGCACAAAGTGAAGAACATTTCCAGCGATCTAAGCCATATAAAGATCACCCTACAATTATGAGGTAGAAAACAACCCACTACATGATAATTATGCTGTTTCTTAATGTTGGTTGTTGATATATACTATCCTGATAACGGGGTACATCTGATCTTATGGATGCATAGTATTTAGTTGTAGTTCTTCTCTTGTGACCTCTCTGTACAGGATGCAAAAACTTGCTAAAGAACTAGGTGTTGTGATACCAGTTAGCTTCTTTGAAGAGGCCAACAATGCCCATTATAATACCATAGCCATAATTGATGCTGATGGGACTGACCTTGGGATCTACAGAAAGTCTCACATTCCTGATGGACCAGGTTTGTTCAAGTTGTTTGTTTTCCCTATTGGCATTCTTCAAATATGTTTTCTGCACAAGTCACTACAAAATATTACTCAATGCAGGCTACCAGGAGAAGTTTTACTTCAATCCAGGAGATACTGGCTTCAAGGTAAAATCTTTTAGCCGAATTTACTGTTTTTCTTTTCATGACCTTATGTTGTTTGAAGCTGACTATTGACTCATTTTGGTGAGCAGGTTTTCCAAACAAAGTTTGCAAAGATTGGAGTAGGTAAGCACCTTACTAGTTTCCACTCACCAACCAGTGTGTCAGAGAAATAATTCTTGTTCGTGTATGGCACCCATGAAGATATAGTTTGCATCATTCACTCAAGCATTGTCAGTTGAGTTCGCCTGCACCAAGAACTCAACTGTCCAATTCTTTATCCTCTTATTTCTGTCCATCAATTGAATCACTGGTGAAGACAACTGAAGGAGGTTGGTCTCCATTTGTATGTGCTATTACCAGCTATATGTTGGGATCAGTGGTTCCCTGAGGCAGCCCGGGCCATGGCTCTACAAGGTGCTGAGATATTGTTCTACCCCACCGCTATTGGTTCTGAACCTCAAGATGATGGGCTTGATTCTCGTGATCACTGGAAGAGAGTGATGCAAGGCCATGCTGGAGCCAATTTGGTAACTCAATACATTCTTTTGGATTTGGCAATTTCTTTGAATCTTTCTTATAGAATGATTGTTAGCTTAGGATTTCTATTATTCGTTATCCACAAGGACCACAACGAATTTTTACATACAAGCAGTTTTGTTTTCAAGTCTTTGCATGCATCTATGTTTCTCACTTCTACATTTGACAAACTCAGGTGCCTCTAGTGGCATCAAACCGCATCGGGAAGGAATTAATACAGACTGAGCATGGGAAAAGTGAGATAACATTTTACGGGAACTCATTCATAGCAGGTACTTTTTCTCCATTCACTACTGCGTTAATGACATGAATTAAAAATTAACAACTTGTCTCAGATAATGACTAAAAATGAACTGATGGACAGGGCCGACGGGAGAAATAGTTGAAGCTGCTGATGACAAAGATGAAGCTGTTCTTGTAGCAAAGTTTGATCTCGATAAGATCAAAACCAAGAGACATAGTTGGGGAGTATTTCGTGATCGTCGTCCAGATCTATACAAGGTGCTTCTTACTTTAGATGGAAGTAACCCATCTCTGTAATGTGGTGATGCTTTTTCACTATCTTAACTTTTTATTTCAGAGGTAATCCCTTAAGTTACAAGTGTGTAATCCTAACATGAATTCGAGCTTCTGTGCAAGGCTCAAAATGCAAAAACTTGGGCTGGTTGCATAAGATCCCCAAATCTATTCTATGGTTTGCTGTAGACTATCTACAATAAATAAAAGTTCCTAGTTTTATTGGTATCTGCATGGTTTCACTGTTTCAGAAGGTTGGAACATGAGTTTTTCGTGTATGTTTTCTGGTTCACAACCATCCGGTAGGTCAACCCTTGCTGGGGAGATTACTCTGTCCACTGTATTATGTGTTAGCTAAAGCCAAAGTGAAGCAACGTCATCCAGGTAATCTTTTCTTCTTATCCACTGCACTATTCTATTTTACTTGGTTCTCCACAGTGCTGAGCAAATTTCCTGATGATGATAGTCTTTAGGTAATAGCTACAATTGGTTTAGATGTGGGATCAATATCTTGCCAGGTGTCTGGTTATAGGTTAGAGTGGATACTTTTGCTCCTCTGGGAATATCTTAAGTTTCCAGAAACTGTCTTTTTCTCTTTCAATGTCACTGCACAGAACTTTTCCCGGGACAGGAAAGGATGGTTATGGGACCAAAATGTTTTATCACCGGAGATATGGGATCTTTCATATTTGTTTTCTCCAATCATCTTAGCTACATGGCAATGATTGTCATAATCATTTAATTAGCTTTTAGATCATTGGATTAGAGAAAGCCAAGCCTCATTCTGTCTTAGCACACTGCTGCTTCTAGGAACTTCACTTGGCTTTTTCAACAAGTGATGACCTCAGAGCTACAATTTTTTCTTCTGCCAGCTTGATGTTAGGTGGTGAACACAAGGTGAAACCTGGACCATAATTCTGCTTTCAAATTGACAACTACACATACAAGTTGTTAGCATCACATGTTTTGAAGTAATATTAGGTGTCTTGCTTACACGTGCAGTTCTCTGGTTAGACAAAACACGTGTTTGATTATATAGGTTCTAATATTACTCTTGCCTTGGTTTGACCAAAAAGATAAGCTGATATTTTTCTGGGCGGAAGATACTCTAGCTACTTTTTGCATCATTTTACTGCATAATTTAAATGCTGCTATCAGTTTTCACCCAGATGACAAAATATAACTTTTGATTTGCGTTCGTACATAAGTTATTCTGTGCCAAAGAAGTGCAGTAAAATGATATTTAGGGTTCATGTTTTGGTAAGATTGAGACATGGTGAAGTCTGGACCATGAGCTTGTTGCCCTTCTTTTTTAAGGCAATTTATATGAATGGAGATGTTGATACTTCAAACCTTTTCCATATAAGGTGACTTGTCTTGTTTTGACATTTTTTTCCCCACCTCTTCCATTGATTGCATGTACAACCATGTACTGTAGATTTTGGACTTCCTGGAGATCATATTGAAGTTTCCTGATTCTTACACAGGCACAGTTACACTTGCATGCTTGTTCTTTACATACTTTCTATGAGTGCATGAAGGAAAATAGGGTCTAGGAGAAAAGAAGGGAAGGGAACATTTAGCCTAAACATGGAAGATACTTTTGTTCTTTTGTCTACCCAAATCCAATTGGGAAGTATATATAGGATCCCTGTTGACTTTGTTCCAGCATGGCAGCCCAAGAAGGTCGATTGATTTCCCAAACCTTGTAAAGCAGGCTGCTTTCTTCTCTTTGTATTACCCTTCATTCCTCATTGCTTGGCATTGTGAAGATTCATGCATTCATCATCCTCATCGTTCTCATCTCCACCATCATGCTCCATAAAGCTCCCATCTTCCTCATCTTCATCTTCCATTTCTTCATTGATTTCATTGTCAGGCTGGACAAATTGCAGCTTCAACCTCCCATCTTCTCTGCAAGCATGCAGAAACTCCTGGGTAGGGATCCTCACTTCTTTCAGAACAAACCTGCCATCCTCCCTGTAAGATTTGAAGCAAACCCAAGGCTTGCCGGTCTTTCCTATGCAGGAAATGGGCGGAGGGAAAGAAACCCCTCTATCACTAAAAGACCTCGATAATCTCCTGTGTTCCCCACCTCTACTCTGATTCTCCAAACCTGAATAATGCTTTGCTATGATGCCTCTTCCTGTTGTTGTTGTTGTGGTTGTGGTTGTCGGTGGTGATGCTGGTGTTCTCTTCTCAATCCCCTCTTCTTCTTGTTCTTGATGTTGCCATCCTGTGGTCGATGATATATTATCATTGTTGTTCAGATCCTCAACATCAGCAGAGCTCTCAGAACCGAGCCCTTCCGTGCACAGCTGCAGGCTGTCACCGAGTTTGGAACCAGACAGAGGGTATGGATTCTTCAGGTTGCCTGATGGGAAAGAGGTGTCCTTGAAATGGAGCTCACCGAATAGCTCGGTGAAGGAGGAATGGTCAATAGGAGGCTTGAGTTGGTTCCAGGAAGAAGAAAGGGTTTCAAGGAGAGATGATGATGATGACGGTGATGGAGTCTTTTCAGGTAATGGTTTGTCAAAGATGTGTTGGAGACTCCCACAGGCAGCCATGGCTTTGTTTTTTGGGGAGTTACGGTTGTGCTGAATTTATGGTTCTTGGTACTAGAAATGGAGGAAAGTTTCTATTTTTTGCTGGCAGGCAGGCTAATGATAGTTCTTGGAAGGGGGTGAGTGAGTGAATGGCTTTACAGAAGGAGAGAAGTGAGGGGTGACACGTGAAGTAGGTGTGGAGAGGGAAGTTGGACAAAATCAAAAGGGTGATGCTATTAACTAGGGAAGGGAAGAATGGGAGGGAAATATAAGAACAAGAACAGAAGGGCCTTGTTTCTTTTTATTTTTGGACAAAAGCAACTTGGTGAGATAGTAGGACTAGAGTTTTTCATGCACCTTCATATAAATGCTTCTATTTTTCTTGTGACTAATGTTGATTTTTGGAGGTAGGTTGGGGATTTTTGGAGGTAGGTTGCAAGGCTTGAGGGATCCTTAGAGTAGGGGTGTTCAAACGGTATGGTAACCGTTTTAACCAGTACTATTTGGATAATTTGGTTTGGTTAATTTGGATAATTGGTTTGGTTTGGTTAAAGTTTTTAGTTGGTTTGGTTTAGGTGGTTTGGTTTGGTTTCAAACACTTCTAACCAGCCAAACCAAATTAACCAGATAAATAATTAGTTATATATCTAATATATACACATACTTAATACTTTGAATAACCACTCAAGAGTTAAGCATTCATCCTTTTAGACTCATAAAATATAAAGCTTGATATTGTTCCTATAATGTATATTTGTATATGTAGAGTGGACCACAACATATGACCGCCTAATTTAGATAAATCTCATACATTATGTTGGATAAAAATTTGAAAGTAAGGTCCTTTTCAGCCTATGAAAATTGCTAAAAGACTAAGTCAATTCAAACAAACACAACAATTCATTAATCCATACCATTGTGATAAATTTTTGTTAGGTGAATACTTCTATGCTAACCATAAGATAATTGTCTTAGTTGCATGTATTTATGTTAAGGTTCAACTATAACTATGTGTTGATTGTTATGTTTTATTCATTATATAAATTGTGAATTGATAAATTAACCGAAATTTTTCTCACTTGATGATAATATGATTTTATATTGGTTAATCTGGTTAACCAATTAACCAAACCGATTAAACTTTAGTTTGGTTAATTTGATTGTTGTATTAGTTTGGACGGTTTGGTTATGATATTGCATTCCATGGTTAATAAAATTTAGCCTTATTTAATTTGGTTATAACCATGGTAACCATTTGAACACCCCTACTTGAGAGGTCACAAATGTTGGATAATTATGTGATATGGTCTCGTAGTTTTGGCATTTGTACAAAATGATTACAACTTTAATTCTTTTCAAAATGGTAATATAATATTGAAATCTTGTAATAAAATGATTTTCTATCCTCATTTAAATAAATTTATAGTTTGACCCATCAAATTAATAACAAATACACGAAGGTCCATTAAGCACCCAAACCATCTCATCGGACACAAGGACGACCTATACCAACTTGAAAAGAAATTCATATCCAATAAACAGTCGGATACTCGGATGTGGGTTTTCCCGTTGGGTATGGGTCGCCTCTATTACTCAGGTGTTTAAGTGGACTTTGGTGTTCGTTTATTGAAAAACTTTTGCAAATTTGTGAGAAAATTCTTCCAAATTTCCGCCCAAATCGGCCATAGCTAGACTTCATCGTTGGTGGAGAGTACCCTAAGGCCGAACCTGTGATCCATCGTCTTCAAAATCCAAGGAAAATGACCATTCCAAAAAATCGCCCGAAATCGGTGATGGTACCCCTTTGGAAACTGGCAAAAATTGCCCCGGGAGTTTTCCGGCCGAATCGCCGTTTAATAGACTTATTCATCCCTAAAGAATAGCCTCAACCTGAATCCGTGATCTGCACCCTTCAAAATCCAAGGAAAATGGCCTTTCGAAAGAATCGCCTAAAAATTACGAAAATGCCCTCCGAAAAAATTCTTCCAAATTTCCGCCCAAATCGGCCATAGCTAGACTTCATCGTTGGTGGAGAGTACCCTAAGGCCGAACCTGTGATCCATCGTCTTCAAAATCCAAGGAAAATGACCATTCCAAAAAATCGCCCGAAATCGGTGATGGTACCCCTTTGGAAACTGGCAAAAATTGCCCCGGGAGTTTTCCGGCCGAATCGCCGTTTAATAGACTTATTCATCCCTAAAGAATAGCCTCAACCTGAATCCGTGATCTGCACCCTTCAAAATCCAAGGAAAATGGCCTTTCGAAAGAATCGCCTAAAAATTACGAAAATGCCCTCCGAAAAAATTCTTCCAAATTTCCGCCCAAATCGGCCATAGCTAGACTTCATCGTTGGTGGAGAGTACCCTAAGGCCGAACCTGTGATCCATCGTCTTCAAAATCCAAGGAAAATGACCATTCCAAAAAATCGCCCGAAATCGGTGATGGTACCCCTTTGGAAACTGGCAAAAATTGCCCCGGGAGTTTTCCGGCCGAATCGCCGTTTAATAGACTTATTCATCCCTAAAGAATAGCCTCAACCTGAATCCGTGATCTGCACCCTTCAAAATCCAAGGAAAATGGCCTTTCGAAAAATTTTTCTTACTTTTAATTACATTTTGGTACCCAAAACTTCTAAAAACACCACAAACAATATTAATTCAATAAATATCATGTCAAACTTAGAAACCACCTTATAGGCACAAAATTAATATAATTGCTAGCTGAGTTTGATTTTCCATACATTTTTCAAATTTCCTTTGAATTACCTATCGATAATTACCATCGTACAGCCCCTGACAACAATATATTGTTGTCACGTCTATCCCTGACAACAATATAAAAGGAAGAACAGCTCAAGAAGAATCCGTTACCAACTGGCCTGAGGTTCCATTTCTGCAACTTGGAATTTATCTGCCAGAGGTTTCCATTGTTGAGGCTTCTTCTGTAGATACACAAACGTACGTCGAGGAGTATGCATGGATTCCCTGCTGGCTGCTGGTAATATATCTCATGCATGGAAAATACTTTTGCAAGTAGACCAATCACAAAAATGGGAAAATTCTTTACCTGCAAAAGTATTTTTCATGGCTGAAATATCAACCAATATATATATTATAAAGCTCTATCGCTCTCTCTGGATGCAGGTTTATATATATAGCAAGCTAGGTGGTTTTGTGAGCAAACCGAGGAGCAAATTATAAAGAGGATCGAGGAGGAGCAAGAGGTCATCCTTCCTCTTTTGTCATCTGATATGCATGCAATTTTAAAATGTCTCCATGCTGTCCTGAACTTACAAAATCATTTTCTTTGAATTGGTGTCGGATTATAAAAATGAATCGATTTATATCGAATTTGTGGATTTTAGCCATTTGTAAATTTTTTATAAGGACGATATAGGTTAATTTTTGTGATGAGATGCTACTAAAAAAATTCGAACCCGTCACCACTAGGTTCAAGGTTAGTGATATTATCACTAGACCGGCCAGTTCCTTTTATCCGTGTAATTGGTATAGTTCTTAAAATGAAGTATTTGTAATGTATTTGGGTAGTTATGGATTTGGAACGTTTATTGTTGGATATTAAGTATACATAGGGTTGTGGATTTAAATTTAGTATTTGGGAGATTTCAACAAAATGGTACATAAAATTATGGATTTGTCATGTAAGTTGAGTTGATAACTTTGAAGATCCCATCGGGTTTTTTTAAGTAAATGAAACTTTTGGCTCACAATACCATTTTAAAGTGCGAAGTATTCAAAAAAAAATCAAATTTGTGAACGAAGTTGGTACATAAAAACTTATGCCATAAAGATGATTATGTTCGATCTCACGTGTATTTTTTATTAGCTCAAACGAACACATCAAAGAGGAGTGTAAAGATTTTAAGAAAGGTGAAAATTTGATCGTTCGTAACAATCAATGAGATCCCGAATCATTTCGTCAATGAGACTCAAATCCAAAATTCAAATTAATCTAGTTCTTATCGGTTAAAATTGTTCTTTTTTTACGGACGTGATTAAAAAAATTGATGTGGCAAAATCAAGTGCTCCTGAAAAGAAAGTAAAACAAGTGGAGGAATCTTGTTATCATCAATGGACTCCAATAATTCTTCTAGCAGTACCGGAGGGTATCTTATTGGTCAAGTTGACTCCAATCTTGTCGGGACATCAAGATTCAGTTAAGAGACCAAGCTTTGTGGATTTCTATTCGTTAGCTGACAAATTGAGGGAAAGATTCGTTGAAATAAATAAGAGAGACGTAAAGTTATAACCTGGAGGGCTTACAGTCACACGGTATATTATGGGAAAATTTAGTTCCATATATATTTCCCCTTGAAATTTCATAAGGTTTTAGACTTTTAGAGTTTGCTACGGTAATTTTGCTAAACTCCAAATTATAGCAACGTCGATTCTAGCGAGTTAATCTTTGACGTTGAGTATACAATACTATGAGTACTTCTAGTGGTGTATTTATATTTAAACCATGACATAAATCGAATTTGGGATGTGATACTATACTATAATCTTTTATGAATAAATTTTAGGTCCCGATTCTTTAAACTCATGTATGAAGATCAGTTTAATATACAATAACAACCCCACGATTAGAATAGTTGAAGTAAATCCGATGATAAGATTATAAGAAATGTTGTATACTCTAAGAGTACGGCAACCGTTACTAAATGTTAAAAAAAATGAAGATCTATGAAAATTGGGCGAAAACTAATACTAACACCAAATTCAATTCTCATTGTCTTCTTAAAATAAAGGGTCGTCTCAATAAAATAACATAAAAACAAAACAATTCCGTTCACCCCTTATTGCCGAGGTTGCAACTCAAACATGTACTTGAAATGTTGCCGAGTTTCCAGTTTGAATCTTGAATGGTTAATGTTGAGAGGGGAAGGGTGAATTTTGGGGTTGGATATTAATTCAATTTTTGCGAGTAATTGTTTTAAGCATTTGCCAAATTGGCCTTCGTCCAGCACCATCCGGTGTATTAGGGATAGAATGACAGAGTAACTTTTTCATTTTGAATCGGATGGGAGTAAATATAATAGACTTTTATCAGTTTATGGATAGAATGACACAAGCATAGTTACCATATATAAGATTTTCTCTTATTTCCTTCTCAGACAATATGTATATATTATGATCATATATTTCAAGTTTTCAACTGGAAACACAAATGGTTTTACACTTTCACCCCACCTATACAAAAAGCTACTACTCAAACTTACTAGGGTTTGATTTTCCTGGCAAAATGAGCATTCTTTCTAGTTTCTACACATGCATAGAGGTATCTATCTCCTAATTTTCTTCTTCTTGTTTCCTATTGAACCGGTTCGATGTTTTCATCGTTTTTGGAAATTGAGGAATTTGATAAGACATGTATATGTCGCTCTTCTCTGTAAGAGAAGAGAGTGATTCAGTGGTGCATTATAACTCCCGTGGGCCT